TCACTTGGTTCACTTGGGGATAACTGATAGACCCGCAGTCCAGATTACATATCAAAGGCGCAACAAAAGGGCAAGGGCAAAAAAGGAAATGCAGGAGGAAAAGCAGCCACATGCATAGTAACAGAATCTGTTAAAGGAACGTTCGAGAAGCACAACAACATATAAATAGGTGAGAATGGATTTCAATTAGGTAGGCAGAATTTGGTAGTCACATAGGAGAGAATTGGCTCTCTCGAAAAGCCAAATATCTTTTATTGTTTTCTATACTGTTTTTGTATTTCAATTTACAGAATCTGTTCTCATTCCATCAGATTATTTCCCTTTTGAATTCAGAATTATCACAAGAGTTCTATCAACTGGTATCAGAGCAGATCCAATCCTGATGGTGAGTCTAGCAGATTGGGTGGGGAGCTTGGAAGGGGGCCATGAGCAGTTACAAAAACAAATGGAAGAAATGCAGGTTGAGTTAAAAAAGGACATAGAGAAAAGTGTGGCAAACATTTCAGAGCAACTCGCCTTCATGAGATCAAGGTGGGAGGAAGATGGAAGAGGGAAAAAAGGCAATGGGCAGGAAGGAACGAAGGAGTCAGGGTATACTCTGCACTCTGAAGTTTCACCTGGAGTAGAGACGAGCAGTAGGGAAGTTGGACGTGCTGCGGGTGGAAATTGGAGAACCGAAATCAAAGGGAGGAGGTTAGAGATGCCAGTGTTCACGGGAAAAAGTCCGGACGAATGGATCTTCAGGGCGGAACGCTATTTCATGGTGAATCAGTTAACAGAGATGGAGAAATTGGAGACGACGGCTCTGTGTTTCGAAGAAGGTGCTCTCGCCTGGTATCAATGGGAGCAGAAGCGAAAAGGTGTGAGAAATTGGGATGAGCTCAAAGCACTAATGCGAGCTCGATTCCGATCCTCGTCGGAGGGAACAATGGAGGAGAGGTTTTTGGCACTCCGGCAAGAAGATTCAGTAATGGCGTATTGCATTTGAGACCTTGGCCGCACCGATTGGAGACATTTATGATACTCTCCTGGAAGGGCATTTCATAAATGGGTTGAGGCCAGAGATTAGGGCCGAAATTAGAGTGATACAGCCCAAAGGATTGACCCATATCATGGAGTTGGCCCAAAGAATTGAAGAAAAAAATCAGACCCTGCAGGACCAAATGACTGGATTTAACCCAACAAAAGGTAGCTTCAATTTCAGGCCCAAAGTGGGTTCTCCTTCTACACGACAAATTGCGTCCCAGAAACCCAGCCCTAGATCTTCGACACTCCGAAATTCTACTCAGTCCGACGCATTCAACCCCTTCTTTAAGAAGCTAAGTGAAGCCGAATGGAAGGCCAAGAAGGAAAAGGAATTGTGTTTTCGCTGTGATGGCAAATACTCCATTGGGCATCAGTGTAAGAACAAGGAATTACAGGTGATGTTGATTTATGATGAAGAACGGCAAGAGGAGTGGGACGCTGAAGAATCGGCGGAGGAAACGACTGAAGGAGGGAAGTCAGTCGCCGGCGAGGTAGTGGAATTATCGATGAATTCGGTCGTAGGGCTCACTCCACCGCAAACTATGAGAGTGAAAGGGAAAATTTCAGGGGAAGAGGTAGTGGTGTTAATCGATTGTGGTGCTAGCCATAACTTCGTGTCAGCAGATTTAGTGCAAAAATTGGGGCTGCCAAGAACAGAAACACTAGGATATGGGGTGATTATGGGTACTGGCTTGGCGGTACAACGAGCGGGGGTGTGTAAGGGAGTGAGATTATTTATGCAAAACATAGAGGTAGTAGAGGATTTCCTTCCGCTGGATTTAGGGAGTTCTGATGTGATTTTGGGAATGAAGTAGCTCACGACTCTGGGCCAAACGAAAGTTGACTGGAAAGCACTCACGATGAAGTTTCAGATTGGGAGAACCACAATGACCTTGCAAGGGGACCCGAGCCTTAGCAAAACCTTGGTCACAATGAAAACTATGATGAAGGCATTCAAGGAAGGGGGAGAAAGGGTACTTCTTGAACTGGGCAACCTGGGGTCGAGTACGGAGAATTGCAATGGGAAATGCCGGCAGAAATTAAGCGAGTTTTGGGTGAGTTTGAAAGGGTTTTTGAAGAACCTAAGGGGTTACAGCCACAGCGAGACAGGGATCACACTATAACTCTCCAGCCGGGAGCAGTACCTGTCAGCGTGAGACCTTTCCGTTACCCTCATGTGCAGAAAAACGAGATAGAAAAGTTTATCCGAGAGATGTTGGCAGCGGGAATTATCAGACCTAGCACCAGTCCTTTCTCTAGCCCAGTCCTATTAGTGCGAAAAAAAGATGGCGGGTGGCGATTCTGTGTAGATTATAGAGCAGTGAACAAAGTGACAGTGCCGGATAAGTTCCCTATCCCTATGATTGACGAGTTATTGGATGAGCTATACGGAGCAACGATTTTTCGAAACTGGACTTGAAAGCAGGATACCATCAAATTCAGGTCAAACCTGATGATATCCCAAAGACAGCTTTCAGGACACATGAAGGCCACTATGAGTTCCTCGTAATGCCGTTTGGGTTCACTAACGCCCCTTCTACGTTTCAGTCACTTATGAATGAAGTGTTTAAGGAGAAGCTGAGGCGGTTTGTTTTGGTATTCTTTGATGACATCCTAGTATTCAGCCACAGTGTAGAAGAACATGTGGAGCATCTGAGGAGTGTATTACAGGTGCTATCCCAACATCAATTGTATGCCAACAAGAAGAAATGTAGTTTTGGGCAGCCAGAAAGTTGGAAATGCAGCTGATCGAATTGCTCTGCCACCAAATTTGTCTGCAATTCATGATGTATTCCACGTGTCAATACTTCGACAATATGTGTCAGATCAAAGTCATGTGGTTATTTATGAACCATTGGATATCAAACAAAACATGACGTATGAGGAAAAACTAGT